CGGCACTTGGCTTCCTCAGCATGTCCAAGTGCACCAATTTCAATTGCTGACGATGACGTAAAGCAGCAGCAGCAACAGCAACAGCAGCAGCCTACCTGTTGCCTGTTTTTGTTATTATTATTATTTTTTTTTTTTCATACACCTAAATACAATTTCTCTCGCAGTCAAGACGAGAGACGCGCTTCAATTACGTTTGATAATTTGTGGCCAGCGCAGATTCGAGTGCTTAAACTCATTTATATGATGCTTACTCCCTCTCGATCTATCTTTTTCTCTATACAATTTAAGCAATTAGTGTTTGTTTTGGTAGCTTCATACTTTTCTCGTGGCCCTGGAAACAAAACGGCTACAAGAGGGGTATTTTAATGTCAATAAATAAAATTTAAAATATATATGAATATATATAATGTTGCTCATTAAGATTAAAATGATTATAGATATATAAAATTTATAATTAATATTTAATTTATATTTATATTTAAGATATACCTCCATATAAAACAAATCTTATAATTAGAACAAGTAGATATACTTGTATTACTCTAATTTAGGTTAATCTCATAATGAGTATATTTACTTCATACTACGATTTCGTTTATAGGGTATTGGGCAGTCCATCTCCCGCTCATGTATTATACACTTTTACATGCGTAATTTTATTTGGCAGCAATTATAAAACTTTTTGATTTGACTTGATTTCATTTGATTTTCTTTTCATTGTTTCGTAATTGTTTAAAAGCTCATGATTCGCGCGCGCGTGTGTGTGTGTGTGTGTGTGTGTGTGTGTTGTAGGTGTTGTAAGTGTGGCCAGTTGACAGTTTTGATGATGCGCTCGCGCCCGGCCCACTTGGCGTATACGCAACGGCCTTGTCTAAGCAGCTATTTCCTGTTCAAGCGAAATGGGAGCACAACTGCTGATGGGCACAAATATTTGCTTAATGTTTTCATCTGGGCATCGAGGGCTAAGCGTCAGCTGAAGTAAATCGCATTCAGCGCTAGCCAGCCACAGCGGGTCATAAATGAAGAATCATCATGAATGGAACCAGCCGGGCGAGAGCGGTGCGGGTGGCTATAGGAACATCCAAGTCGAAGTATGTAATCGTGGGTCACTTTCGTTTTCAAGACAACATTTTCGAGTGTGTGCTCCAATTGTGAAAATAACACTTGGCACACTCTGGCGAAGGTTGTTGTGTGTGTGTGTGTGTGTGTGTGCGTGCGTGTGTCTCTCCCTCTATTTGCGCATCCGTAACAAACATTTTGGAAATTACACTGACCAAAAAATAAATTAAAATTAAATATATCTAGCTGTTAGAAAAAAGTTTGATATTGATGAAATGATGGTATATTAATAATACAGATAATAATTTTATAAAGTATTTGATATAATTACTGTAATGTAAATTAATTCCTGTCTATACAATTACATAAGTATTTGGAAATATTGTGTATATAAATTTGTTGTATAAAACATATTTGAATCATCCATTTTAAAAATAATAAAAGTGAAAAAAAAAATGATTAATAAAAATTATAGGTTGTTTTGTAAGTAAAATTTTATATAATTATTTAAATGAATAGGTCAAAAAAATATATTATTAATAGTACGGTAGACGAAAAATTACTTACAAGTAATTTAATTTAAATACAAATATATTTAAAAATATTAATAAATAATAAAAAAAAAAGTTTTTTGATAAAACGATTTTTTATGAGAAATATTTTCTTCTTTAATTTTATTTACTTACTTTATACATGATTTTTGGTTAACAAAATTGTTCAACTTTTAAGTTTTTGCAATTTATAAAATAAATAAAAATTAAAAATTAATTCTAGAAACTTTTCTTTGAAACAAAAACTTCCAGGTGTGCCTTCATTTAAGATTTTACAATATATATATATATATATATACATATACATTCATATATTCATATAAATACACTCATATTATTCATATCTATACACTTATGTAATTATTTACGAATACTAGATTTTATGTATATTACTGTATTCATATCTACAATCATATTCATTTTAAAATTTTCATATATAGTCAAATAAGGATTCATATATAAGATTCGTATATTCATATACATACATATATACAACATTATATATATATATATATATATATATATATATATTTTTTTTTTTTTTTTTTTTAGCTGCATCTCATTTTGAGTACGAAATTCCTTAATAAATGATCGCTCAGTGTATGTGGCAAAAAAAGTTGCACGTTTTTAAATGACCTCAAAGCCAGAGTCTTAGGCTGGTGGTAGCTGTAGTCCCTGGTGTCGTTGCCACGCCGACAGGCCCCAGGCCAAGAGGCCACCCTGGCAACAAACACACACACACGCACAGTCATTCGATTATCGGTAAATAATTGTATTTTTCCAGTTATTTTGTTGCAGCTCGGTACAATTTCTCGCTTGGAGACATCAAAAGACAAGCGGACAGCACTGGTAGTTCGAGAGCTAAGCTCCTGCCCAGCTCCGAACTCTTTTAGGCAGTGCGCTCTCTGCGCGCAAGTGCATGTCTGTGTGTATGTGTGTGTTGGTGTGCGTGTGCGTGCGTATGTGCTAGTGGCTTTTGATGTTTAATTAAATTCATTTTCGGCTGTGGCCTTTTGTAATGAGATTTTGGCCAGTTCAGCTGCTCAGCGTGTTGCTGTTGCTGTCTTTGCTTTTGCTTTTGCTGGCTGCTTCTCCACTGCGCTCTCCCAATCGAATCATATAAATGCTCGACGCCGAGTTCAGTGGGGCATCAGTTGAGATTTGCGCTTTCCAATCGAACCACTAGCAGCAAGCCGAAGCAGAAACTGTCCAGTCGATCAACGAACAGTTTAACAATTCAAGGATTACGTGTGTGTGAAAGAGACCCAAAGACTCAAAGTGTTTGCCATGCGCGCCTTCTCGCTCTTCGTTGGCTGTGTCGCCCTGCTGGGCGCTGTCCAGGCACGTCCTGAGCCCCCATCGCCCTACTATGGATTACCGCAACAGCAGAGCCAGCGTGCGTTACCATTGAATGGTGAGTGTCTCTGAGACTCGGCGCTGCGCTTTATGCAGTTCATCTCTCCCTCCCTTTCCCTCTCGCAGTGCATAGTGCGCCGTCACATATCTACCAAGCGTTGCCCCAGGAGCAATCGTTTGCCAACTTTGCCCCGCCTGCCGCTCAGCCCCAGATGAACTATCTGCCACCCATGCAGCAGCTGGAGGAACAGCTGGCACCCGCCGCAGATCCACTGAGCGCCTATGATGACTCATACAACATGGCGCACCGCCTGTCGGGCGTGCAGCATGCCAGCGGCTACAACAATGCGCCACAGGAGACGCGGGTTCACAAGCACATCTATGTGCATGTGCCGCCCAAGGACTTCGAGCAGGAGGATGCCGTGCAGCCACGCGTGCACCATGAGCAGGGACCCAAGCAGAAGCACTACAAGATTGTGTTCATCAAGGCGCCATCGGCTCCAGCGCTGCGTCCGCCAATCGTGCCACCGCCACCGCAGAACGAGGAGAAGACGCTGATCTATGTGCTGCACAAGAAGCCCGATCAGGAGCAGGATATTGTCATTCCCTCGCCGCCACCCACCAAGCCATCCAAGCCCGAGGTCTACTTCATCAAGTACAAGACCAAGAAGGACGAGGTGCCCGTCTATGGACCACCTCCAGCTGAGATGGAGCCACGTCAGGCCAACGCCGATGACTTTTCACCCATGGCCGATGTCTCGGATGTTCTGCCCACGACCAGCGCACCCGAGCTGGAACCCGAGCAGCCCGCCTCCCTGCCCTCGTCCATCTATGGCCCGCCCACAGCACCCGCCTACACCGGCGAGGAGGTGCAGACCACGCTGGCCGCGCCCGCCCATCAGTATCTGCCCCCGTCCACAGCAGCCGGCAGCGAGGAGCCCTCCATGGCGCCCATCGTAGTCGAGGACTCTGAGCAACGCCAGAGCCCAGATGCAGCCACACCCACATCCGGCCGTCTGCCCGCTGCCAACTACGGCCCGCCCAGCCGCTACTTCCTGAAGAAGATCAAGTAAATGGCGCAGTGGCGCAGCTTCCACTTAGTCTAAATGCCGTGACACGCTCTCTCACACACACTCACACATATACGCTGCACTCGCTTGTTGCCTTTTCATAAAAATTGTTAAATTGTTTGTTAAACTGTTTGTAGACAATAAAATTCGAATTTACTAAAAAACAAGAAAAAAAAAAGAAAACAAAAAACGATGCTAAATATGTTTTATTAATTTTGCTGCGTTTCGTTTGCGTGCTTTTGCAAATGCACTAAAATCGAGCTTGTTTAAGGCTTTTATTAACACGTTATTGAAAGTTAACGACAATTGGCCCTGTCCAGCTCTTTAAAACTTGACCTTCAGGCCTTGACGCGCCGCGTCGCGTCGTTAACAACTCATTTTTTTTTCTCTTTTTAATTGGTTACGTTTTGTTAAGTTTTGAACGATTTTCCGCGTAGGAATTTTAATGGCAAAATTGAAAGATTGTGCGTGTGATAAAAACAAAATGAAATGTCATTTATATAAGTATACTGGCTAATGAATATGATTTAAAAAACGGCCTAAAGAATTGTTGTAAACATTATTTTGCTTATATACAAATAATATCTGCAGCATGTTGCCAGCAAGCTCGAAATAAAATTGTTGCCATGGACAGTCAATGAGCACACTCTATTTAGCAGTTAAATGAAATTTATAATATTATTTTATTTCTTATTATGTGCATACACTATTTATTTGAACTATACTCAACATAACAAATTTATCTGCTTATTCAATAAACTTTGCCTTTTTGTTAAGCGCTGCCCAGCAACATTCTAGGTCCGCTTCGCAGTATGTGCTTAGCAACATGTTGCCTGGCTGGCTTGCTTTTGGCGCCAAAGTCCTAGCTATTGCGCAGAGTGTGCAACAAATGCAGCCGAAGTTCAGCCGTCCGTTCGTGTCTGAGCTTCGTGCCGTTTAGAACTTTGCTTGCCTGCTGATCTCCATTCAGTCAGCCACTGACGCCAGTCACGGAGTCCCGCAATTCAGTTCGGTTTTTGTGTTCGTGCGCGACGCAACGTAATGGCGGCAGCGCTTGTTGCTTTTGGTTCTAAGCGAATTGTTGCTGCTGCTTCTGTTGCTTGAGACTTTGGCGTCATTTCGGCCATTCGCGCTGTCAGTTTCCATTGGCCGGCAGCGGCGCTTGCTGCCCGTTTACCGTTTCTTGTGCGTCTCTTCAACGGGAATGTGCTTGGGCACCTCATTTGCGCCATTCAAACGATTTGTTTATGTGAAATATCAATTGGAATGTGCCCCGCACGCGAATAATGCGCACTATAAACGCAGCAATTAATTAACTGTGTATCGAGACGCTTTCTGAAATTAATAGAGCTGCGAGGCGTGTGCGTAACATACCAACACAATTTGTTGTGCGTGTGTGCGTGAAGAAGAAGAAAAAGTGCCGCTAATGCAAATGTGTAAAAATTTGTGCACATAAGTGAATTTCGTCGAGGTAGTTAACTGTTTGTATTTGCCATTGCTATTGCCCAGCTAAATGTTAATTTCATCACCTCGGGAACTCGACAACACGGGCAACCAGACCGACTCGCTAAAGTTGTTGTAAGTATATCCCAGCCAAATGTATATGTATGTACGTATATTACATGAATTCGTAAGCTGCTGTCAAGTCACATGCATTTTTTAGTGCTAACTGTTGCTCCTTGTGCCACATTCAGTGCTTCTTTGTATACTCTGTTCGGAGAAATGCCATAAAGAATATATCGGTTTTTTATTCAAATAATTTAAAGTTATGAAAATATAGTTTTTAGTTCCAGAAAATATTTAAAAAGCATTCGAGTCCCTTGATCAAAACGTCTGAACTGAATTAACAGTCAATTTTATTTGAAGATATCTTTCTTAGCGCGGGTTTCATTCTACAAAGCGCTTAAAGCCTAGATTTTTTTTTTATTTGTGAAGGAGCAGTAGAAAAGTGTAAAAGTGTGAAATATGGAAACATATTAGTGGAATATTTTGAGCACACATATTTTGATTGATTTTGTTAAATACAAAGTGAATTTTTTAGCTCTGGGAGTTTTCATACAGGACTTCATCATTAAATTATAATTTAAAAAAAAAAAATATTATGCTACTGTTTGGTGTCGGTTCAATTAGTTTTAATATAAATTAAAAAATATATATAGAATACAAAAAAAAAAAAAAAAAAATAATTTTTCAACTTTTATTTCCACAATGGTAAATATTTTTTAGTTTTAAAGAATGTGTTTATAAAAAAAAGTAAAAAATTAAATTTGGTTAGCATTAATTCACAACAGAGTATTTTATAGTCATCGTATTCGACCTTTGTTTGTTTTGTCCTTGGTTGCAGCCTGCTGCACTTGTTAAGAGACAAGTTAATGAGCCTCCGTTTAGACTTGCCTTGCACTTGGTTAGTTCCTTTCAGCTGGCATTCGACCATTGTTTGCATTTGCAATGTTTGAATAACTTTTGCGAAATGTTTGCAATCCACAGGAGACTTTACATTGAGTGCTTGCCCGAAGACTTGGCACTCGCTTCTCTGCAGTTATGCAGAAAGCCAGCCAAGCAGCCAGGCAGCACCAGCCAGCCAATGGCTTCACTGTACTGTACAAAGCTCAAGTACTTGAAATACATTTTCAAGTACAAGTTTTTCCTTTGGCTCACGTGCGGCTTCGCCTGGCAGCTGTCAGCTTGTTTGCTGTCAGACATGAACACGTGCCGTGCTCCCATTTTAATGTGGCGATTCATAAACACTGGGAGATCCCCAGAGAGCAGCTATAATTGTCATTTCTGGCTGACCCTTGTCATTGCAGCACTCAATAGCTAAGGTTAGTTGTCAAAAATCATTGTAATTTTTTTGCTCTAAGTTGAACCTTTCTTTCTTAGCAATTAATTATTGCCATTCTCATTTGGCCAATGACAATTTATGCCATTTGATTCAATTCTTTACAATTTTCTAGCTGTCAACAATGCAAAAGACATTTATTATTTCTTTATTTAGTTGTATATTTTTATTGATTGCATAGCTGATTCTCGGGGGAGTTTATTGGCCAACCGGATATTCGCTTCAATTGCTAGCTGATGAATCAGCTCTGCTCAATTTACAGTTATTGTTGCATTTGACTACAGCTCCGTGTGCGTGTGGAGCTGAAAAAGGAGCAACGGAAGTTCTCTGGAAAAAATATCATCTGATTTATTACAGGCAGCAAAAAAAAAAAAAAAAAAGGAGAGGAAAAGCTTTTTTTGAGCCCTGCCTTTGGCCAATTTCCTACACTGACAGCTGCCAGCAATGCGAACACTTAGTTAATTATAAATTATGAGCTCTGAGCATGGGAGGCGGGTCATTGCGTAGGCGGCACATAAAAGTGTGCCGCTGCCAGGGAATTATTTAAGGCCCATTATATTAGCCAAAACCAGACACATATGTTTGCTTTGCGACTGCTGCTGCTGCTGCAGGTGAGCGCATATTTTATCAGCAATTAACAGTTGAATCCGCTTGGCTTAAGTGCCTGCAGCGTTTTCCTTCCTTCCATTGCTGTGTTTGGCGGCAATGCCCTTTGGCTTTTCGGAGCTTTGAGCAGTTCTTCTTTTGTGTTTGACTGGGTCCAAAACAAACACTTTGTACGGTTTATGGCCGCGTGTTTAGTGTCAAAGCGTGTCATGAGGGCGTACGTTTGTTGGCCTCAGCTTTTACGGCGTGGCGCCTCTGGTTACAAGCCGCGACAGACACTGAGCGAAAAAGTTTAGACTGAACTGGGGACGGTCGAGGAGAGTCAGGAAGAAATAAGTTTGTCTGTGGTAAAAATACTTTTTGATAGGCATAAAAATCGTTAATTAAAGAATTTATTTAAAAGTACAACATTTTTTAGATGAAGATCTAAATTAGCTAGGAAAGTTTTGTATACATCGAATAATCATAATAAAGCGGGGATATATATTTATATGAATAAATGTGATTCATTGTGGTATAAATATTTTGCTTTATAAAGAATTTAAATGATCAGAAACAGATTTTCAACTTAAGCCCTCTTTAAGGCAAGGCTTAACGTTATACACACACTTTTCTCCAAGTGTACGTCATTTGTTGTGTGTTCAGATGCTGCTGTGGCGCTTAAATTTACAATGGCCGACTATATTTTTTTATGCTTGTAAATATTCAAAAATAAAGAAAAAGAGGAGCAAAAATATAAAGCAGAGTCGTTACTTTAATCAATATTTCAATCAATAAAATAGTCCATCAATGCAAAAACACTTCCGGTGGCAAAACGCAGTCCACATCTCTTGGGCATCATCATTATAAATAGATATTTGAAATGGCGCAAAAATAAAATATGATCAATAATCAAATTGAATTGCGGCTGAGCTTCCGTTTTTGGTGGTTTATCCATTGCCGACAGCTTCGAAGTGAAAGATCGTGACAAATGATTTAAATGGGTGAAAGCTAAATTTTCATTTTGCACCTGTCTAGATAATAAAATAAAAGCCATTAACATTGATTTCAATTCAAAGTAGTTACATTTTAATTCATGTTTTGATTGCTAAAATGTTGTTTGCATTTACAATGCAAATGCAGGTGTGAGCGAGAGAGTTGCTTAAATTATTTGATTTCAATTTTATGTATTTTTGCTGGCACAGAATTTATTTTTCTGCCATTCGATTTTCAATTCGAATTAATAATCTGTTTATAAATCGATTGAAATCAGTTCGCGCAGCAATTAACATCAAATTAGGTGAAGAATTTTATTTCAGCTTAAAACTGAAAAGAAAAAAAAAATATTTCTTTTGTTTTATAAATAACGATTTTTTAGATATATAATACAATATTTTAAACTGAATTAGAAGCTAATATAAATATTTATTTTCTATTCACTTGGCATATATTCAAATATTTACTATGTGTCTTATTTGTTTTTTAGTTCTCATAAAAATAATGTATATCTGCTGAGTATTTTCATTAAGCTGTCATTAGTCTATGTCTATGCCTGAACTGTGAAAGAAGTATTTTGTTCGAATTACTACCTTACTAAAAAACTTATAGATTTATCATACATATGTATATACAAAGTGGGGCTTGATAGATTAAAAAATTATATATTTCTCATCCATTTCTCTTTTTTGCCGCTTTCATTGTAATTCCCATTCGATATCAATTTCGTCGTATCTTCATCTCCCCCTGGAAATCTTCAGTCACAGGCGCTTAAGTCTGCGAATACATTGACCGCGGCAGCCGCAGGGCGCCTGTGGGAGTATTCCAAAGATATTTTATTTTTTCCCAATAATTGGTTGCAGATTCTCTGCTTCATTTTTTGGCATGATATTTTCCAACGAAAAGCCAAAGAACGTCCAAGCAAAGATGCGGTCAACATGAATACCAACAGAATGTCACAAATTAATATAAAATTGATAGCAGAATATGTATTAGCTGTCGAAGTTAAAAATGCTTCTATTGAACCAAACTCTTAACATATTTAATCAATATTGGAAGAGCTAAAGAGAGCTGAACTAGCTGGTGATAGAATAATTATATATAGTTATTTCTATCGAGCCCTTATATATATTCTCAATAATTGTTCATGGAATTGATTGAGATGAGAATCCTGTCCTACTTCTAGTCAGTGCTAGAAGATGTAATTGCTTAACAGATGCTGCCTATGCGGCTCATACATATATACATATATACTCTTTTATTCCTATCTTATGTTACACGCGTTCGCAATTTTTAAAACTGTCACCAAATCCAGGTTATAGGATATTATTTATAATTTCTGGGTACGTGCATGTCTCAAGGTTAAATTATATTTGAGCATTATTTATGAAGCTTGAATAACACAATAAAAAACATGTTTATGTGGTAAGAGATGAATGGCGTAGACTAACGGTAACTAGGATAACTTGGAGCCTTTTTTGCCGCTAGTCTTTGCTTCATCTATATTTTAAGAAAATTTAATAAGATTTAAACTCATCTTCTAGCCGAAACGGTCATGTGCAGACATGTTTCATTAGAATTGCATTCAATATCTTTTCAGACTTTTAAATTGACAAAACATGTTGCTTACTTTAGACAAAGCTCTGATATTGTCTCTGAGTATTTTATCTTGCTTGATTTTAGTTATTTTGTTATTTTTGCTATTTTAGTGTTCTATTTTTTCAAAGCACTCAACAGCAACACCTGAGCTAAAAGAGAGACAGCAACAAATTGAATTTGTTTACTCACAGACTCAACACACAAATACACACAAAGAACTTTAGCATACAGTTGGAAAGTTGTGATAATAAAGCGTCTTGAATGTTTATAAAATTCAATTTTGTTGCCAGATAGAAAGAGAGAGAGAAAGAAAAGCTGCTCAAGTATCTACCTGAGAGTCAGAGCCTTTGTGTTTAGTTTTTGCTTTGCATATTTTGTACAGCTTTAAGAAGAAGAAGAAAAAACTAATCCCGACAACAATCTGGCAAAATGCAACCAGCTGGCTTTTGATATGTTCAGCTGCAACAGAGATAAGAACAAAACCCGGACCCCGAAATGAGACAAGTTTCGAGCAGCCATATTAAAAATTCCTTCGACAAAGTTTACTCTTTACTTTGCT